TTCATCACCATCTGTTTCGGTACTAACCCTTTTCCAATGATTTTGAGCTTTCTCATACATTCTGCCCAACATTAAGCATTGTTCAACAGATTGAGGTTGAAACATCTTGACATTTATTTGCATATCAGTTCTCAACCCTGCCAAGAAAAGACTAACCAAGTACGCTTCAGACAGATTCACACGAGACTTAATCAGCTCAAATTTGTGATGATAATCCGCAATTCCGTCAGTTTCTTGTAACTGTTTTAGCTCTGCAATAGGATCACCCAAGAATTCAGCAAAATGTTTCTGCAACAGAAGCTTATACACTTTCCAATCACGCAACAAATTAACCCCAAAACCAGATTGAAACCACGATTGGTGCCACGTTGCTGCAGCTCCTTCAAAATGACTCGATGCAACACTTACTTTCAACTCCTCCGGAGTAAAATCAAGAGAGAAGAACTGTTCCACCTTAAACAACCATTCCCTTACTCGATCTCCACTAAATCTATGCAATTCCAGTTTCGATAAACGAGTAACAGTTGAGTAATTCGAATTCATACCAGATCTATGACCACGAACCACTTCCGATGACGAATACACCGTTTCTGGAGTTCTCGAAACCGCCGGATATGATTGTGGCTGTTGTAAATGTCGAGTGTGTGCCATTGATTCCGAGAATCGGTGAGCTTTGATACCTTTGATATAGCTTTCTTCACCGATCGATCAATCAACACTTCAATTCCAAAGTTAACCAAAACAACGTTCATGAAACGCAGCTTCGATCATCATCTCTAGGTCTCTAGATGAGAACCTAACAAAAGAAGAGATTCAAGGAGAAGATAACAAACTTTTACAATTTTCATCAATGAATCCGTAAGAGACCTTCAGCTTCTCTTTAACCCCAAAACACTTCTGCTTATTTAATCTTGACCGTTGCTTCTTTTTTAGATCTCCACGATCCACGTGTCTTCCCACTTAAATCCTCATTTACTGTATCACAGTTCTTACTCTTTCCCCTTTTCGTTTCATGATTTCGAATCTTAGGGTTTCCAATCCTCGCTAAATTAGAGAATTACTGTAACAATTGGTAATCGAATTTCTCAGTGATTAGACATTTGAGTATCAAATCTCCAGATTTAGGGTTTTCGATACTAAGTATGTGTCTCAGTGTCAAAAGGTTGCTATGTGGAAATCAGAAATCTCAATTTTATAGTTGTTCTTTGAAATTGTTTTCGTGTATTGATATGTTGATGTGACTGTGACTTCATTAGCTGATTAGTATTGCTAATTAATTGCTTAGAAATAATTAGGGATATGAGTAGATTAAGAAATAACTTTGCGTTCAATTGTTTGTTTGAGAAAGATCATGTAATGGAATTGTTTTTTATTTTATTTTTTATGATGGTGTAGTTTTGAAAGCTGATTTGATGGCTAAACTTGATAAAGAGGTTAAATCTTTGGAAGAAGATAGTATACGTGCTTGCCCTCTCCAAGTAAGCTTACTTGATGCTTCTTTTAGAATAAAGTGTTTAGTTTAATTGGTCTTGATGTTTGACCAAAAAAAAAAAGATTGGTCCTGATGTTTGTTTTGATGATTGACATAGGTTGATGAGTCCATTCTATTTGCTGATTGAAAACGTACTTGAGAGAGTTATCATTGGTTTGGCGTTGTTTATACGTTGTTGCAATCCTATCAACCTGACAATTCAAATATACAAAATAGAGAAGAAACAATTCAGAAAAACAAAACCGAGAAGTCAAATTTTTTTGAGAAATAGCAGATAAAGAATTATAGTAAAAGAGTTAGTTAGAGATCGATTGAACCACCTTTCATCCGCTAAAACTAATTCTATAGTATCTCTCTGAATTCTTTTTTGCTTTCAGATTCTAAGACTTTTGAGACGGCATCGCCAGTCAAATCTTTGTTGATGTTACAAAGAACCATACAAATGGAAAATGAAAAAGAGGTAATTTTAGGATGAAAAGAATTGAAGGTATTTGGAAAATTATTTTGATCGTGTTTAGAAGTGATGTTTTCTCTTGGATATGAAATGGATATATATAGAGGACATATACGATTAGGTTTAGCTGTGATACATTTGCGTAAAATCTTTTGTGAGCAAGCAAAATCTCTTTGAATTAATTATAATTGCCTAGAATTAGAAAACTAAATGAATAATAATTAAGGTTGTTATGGAATTAATTTCAAAAATCAATGAAATTAAGATATCTACGAAAATTAATTTCAGTTGTAAATGGAAATATGCTTTTAAAAATCTTTAAAATCGAAAATCTATGGAATATGCTACATAGATGCTATAGAAAATAAGAGTAAAATCGTTTAGTTATGCAACATTTCCAATTGTTCTCGTTGCTATTGAATGTAAATGTTATATTGTTCAGTTTTATTAGGAAACAAAAGATATTTGCTGAATATATTTAGCATTTAAATTGGATGTGATTAACAAATCTGTTTTATTATCAGAATATGTATTATTGATTGCGACCCATAATAATAGGAAAGATATTGAATGTACAATTGTTAGCATAATAATAATAAGAAGTATATCTAACGAATCTGTTAGCATCTATATAGGAAAGATGTTGAATCCGGTAAATACATTTGTTATAACTAAATATTCTTAGTAATAACTGTAGGAATATACTATATACTCCGAAATCTTTGGTAATGTTTTAGGAAAGTCTAATAAGTATAGATCTAACGTTTAATGCGGGTCATTTAGATATGGTTAGGATTTGGTAGATTAGGATAGTAACTAAGCGAATATTGAGTCTAATTACTTGAATTTTTTTTGGCAAGTCTTATTTAAAAGGATCCGAGAGCTGTGATTGGCCAATGAGTCGGGTCAAAATAAAAAATTCTGGGTCAAATCTTTAAAAAAACCCGACCCGATTAGGGTCCCCAAAAAGTGTTGCAAAAATGTATAGTAGATTCTTTTGTATAACCTTTTCCAAAAATAAATAAATTTCACATTTAAACCAAAAAAAAAAAAAAAATCATCAGTTTCATTTTTTTCTGTACTTTTCTTTTCTCCTGATTAATTTAAGTTATGCACTTCTACTCTGTTCTACAAAACAATAGTTTTGTGAACTTAAATAATAGTTTTATGTAGCACACTAATTCTAAAATATGATCAACTAAGACGAATGATTAGTTCTCACAACATAATTTTCGGTTTGTGCCATATTAAGAGTGAGAAATGTATTATTCTTGGACTTTTCTAGATTTTTCTCGTCGGATCCTAGATCTACTACACAAAATTCATAAGATTATAATAAATGATATATATAGGTTACTAATAATATAGCAAAGTTGTAGATGAAAACAATAGCAGTGCTTCAATGTAAAAAAATGAGACATTGGCATCTAAATTTTTGGAAAATTTTAAGGGCATCTGTTTTTTAGTTTAATTTATATGTACTCAAATCAAGCAAGAGTTGAAGACGTCGTAACCACTCACCGAAGCAGGAGACATCGAGTGGAGATCCTCAAAAAAATTGAAGCAAAGATTGTTGAGCTGAAAACGAGCAGAAAGTAAGGACTTGATGATGTGAACTTGTGGAAAAGTAGAACAGGTTTCAAAGTTAGGTTTCACAACACGTGAGACATGGAAACTCCTTAGAATCGGAAGACCAACTTGTGATTCGGCAAACGGAGTGTGGTTCTCCCAAGGCACACCAAAATTTGCTTTTATCACTTGGCTTGCTATGCACCAGTAGGTTTTCAACGGGAGACATAATGGAGAAATGGAATACCCGAGTCAACATCTTATGCGTTTTGTCCCTATACTGGACAAGTTTAGGAAAACCTCACCTAAGGTCTACTAAACAATCACTACACTTCAGACTGGGCACTAATTCAAACAATCATCTTAGGTACAACGCTAGCTCAACAACCCCTTCTGCTCTTAAGATACACTCTTCAAGTCATAGTTCATTCGATATGGAGAGAAAAGAACAACCGTAGATATGTTGAAAACCCTTCACCAGCCACTCATCTTCAAAAGTTCATCAATAAAACAATCTGAAACCGCATAAGCAATCTTCGAAACATGGGGACAGGAAAGTATGATGACCTCCTCATACTATGGTTCTATACTCGAATTTAATGTGTACATCACAAACACTTAATTTCTTTTCAGCTAAGTTACACTTGTTGTAGCAAAGGTTTTTTGATGAATAAAATTAAACAAAATGATTGAATGGCTGGGAAACAAAACTGTGTGCTTTGTAACTCATTTGGCATAGCACCATCTAAATGACCTTAGCACGCACAACGTGTCAACGTCTAAGCTATCAAAATGGGCTACGATCAAAATAAAAGAATATGGGCTTTGGAGTTTGAAACTGATCTCACGTAAACATTGATTTAAAAAAAAAAAAAAAAAAAAAAAAAAAAAGTTATGGGGGCAGTTTTTTTATTTTTATATGGGGCCATAATTTAAACCATATAAAAATTACATCAAACACCTAAAAATTACAAAGTTAGTGGTGGTAGCTGCCACTCCCTTGACCAATGTAGATCTGCCCTAAATTAATATTGGATAAAATTTAGTTCATTGGCAAAAAATAGGATAAAAAACAAGGAAGTAAACAGAGAAGAAACCAATCTTCAAGGTAGAAACTGTTAAAGCCTCATCACCAAATGGGCCAGTCCACAACAACAAAGCCCAAGAGCGGCCCAAGGTTCAGTCAGTCAAAGTTCCAACGGTAACACTGACTGAAAGCAAAGCAAGCTCACACCAAAGCCATGGGAAGAAGACGACAGAAACAGCTCATCAAATCCAACTCTCAAATAGATTCGCATCTCTATTGGATCTAGAGCTCAAACCACAGCTTCCTCAATGTTGAAGTATGTATATTCTTGTGTTGTATGTATAGAGAAGTCAACATTGTTTAATGGGAATAAATAGAGATTAGAGAACATATATATTCATGGTTAAACCCCTCGAAGAAGTTGTCGTTTGTATAAATGACTAAGTAAGATTCAATAAAAAAAGTTGAAGTGTTCATTTAATTAGAGACTTTCATATTGTAGATTAGGGACTTCAATCCTTTCATATCACTAAGATTAAATGAACCACATAACCGTAAAAAGCATAAAGGTAAAGAGTGGCCATTTCGATATAAGCTTAGAGCCGCCACCGTAAGTTGTGTAATCAAGCGGAGTTGCAATACGATGGATGGCCATGAAGGAATCCACGTAGATGTCAAGTTCTATGATGAGAACACCGTCGACAGTAAAAGAAGAAGCAGAATTGTTGGTTACCAGAATGGAGGAGCCGTTGAGAAGAGTCGGTAGTCTCGATTGACTTGCCTTCAAGAGAAGATCCGCAAACTCAAGCCTCTCAGGCACAACGTGGTATGCAGCCACCTTGTGTCTATCATCGCTCACGTTGGCGGAAGAGTTTGGGATGAAGAGGGTAGATGGGATAACCTCGGCACGGATCCGGTCATTGGTTTCTAAGAAAACCGATGACCATTCTTCAAAAGGGGCATGAGCCAATGCATCAATAATCTCACGGGCCGTCTCCTCCACTGTGCCGGAGACAACGGCTAAAACCGAAACGGCGGAGAGAAGAAGAAATTGTAGGAGATTCATCGCTCCAAGAGTGAGAGAAAAAGTCCAAGAATGGAAGAAAGGAGTTTTCTTTTGTTCTTGGGAGTTAGGAAATTGTGATTTGACTAGTTGCATCAAGTTAGTATTATATAAGCCTCAGCAATGATAATTACGTGTAGAAACAAGGGGTGAGTGAAACTGTGAAGAGAGAGTGCACACAAATTTTGAGACTTCTTTAGGAGCTTGAACCGTAGAAAAAAAAGGTTTGATTTCGAATTAATATTTCTTTTTTTTTTTTGTCAACGAATTAATATTTCCTATATACCATAATAGCTTAATATTATGATTTTTATTTGATTAGATAGAGAAAAATGTAGCTCAAATAATAATTGGTTATAGAATAACTTTGGAATATTTGTAATTTTGGTTAAATATCAATGCTATCACTAACACTCAAAAAAATAAAAATCTTAACCAAGAGTAGATATAACATGATTCATATATAATACACTATTAGATATCGTACTAGTCAGAGGCATTCCATTCTCATTTTTTGTTTCATGCTATTTTGAACAAAGCCAGTACGCAAGATTCCTTATGAGTTATGAAACAATCTGTTATCACTCAAGTGAACAAAATATTTAATAACTATAAATAATAACATTGAGAATCACCCAACGATTTTGCAATGCTTGAAAAAAACCTTTAAAACTTTTATTAGACATAAATTTAACTAGCATGCATTTCTAGAAAACTTTACTTTTAAATAGAAAAATTAATCTTATCTTCTTATTTTATTATATAAAAATATTGTTTTCAAAGTTAGTAACTCATAGGATCGTGCCACGTGTCGAATTTATCGATCTCAGATTTTAATACGTGTTAAACAAAAATTCCTTTTATTTATTTTAAAAAATAAGGAAACTATACGCACATGTCAAATTTATCGATCTCAGATTTTAGCACGTGTAAAACAAACTTATTTTATTAAGAAAAAAATTATAAGGAAATTATATGTATATATCTTATATAAAACAATTCTAAAAATCTAAAGAATATAATTATAAGGAAACTAGATGTATCTTATTAAATAAAAATAGAAATCTAAGAAAAAAATTATAAGAGAACTATACGGATTTATCTTATATAATTTTTTTTTTAAAGTAAAAAATATAAATATAAGGAAACGATATGTATCTTATTAAATAAAAATAAAAATTAAAAAATAATTTACTAATCCTAATTTAAAGCTACTAAAAATTGATTTTCAAGGGTGTTAAATTTAAATTTTTAGGTTTGGGTTAATTATTTTAGATTGAAAGTATATTTTTAGGAGGAAGGGTTTAGTATTTAAGGTTTAGTTTTGAATGTTGAAAAATTAATTTTAGGTTTGTGGTATTTTTGGAAAAACCAGAAATTAAGTGGAGTTTGAAATATTAAACTAATAATGATTGTTTTGGAAAACCAAAACTTAAGTGTGTTATTTTTTTTTTTGGATTCTCCTATATTTTTTCATTCAAAATATTATATTTTAGCTAAACAATTTTAATTGTTAAAGAAACTAGTTAAAAGTGAGAGTAAAGAAACTCGACAAAAAAACATATACTTTGTCTTATACTATGCTCATAGAGATATTTTTAGGTGGTAATAAATAGCAGATTTCAACAATATAATATGATTGAGTGTAAAAAAAAAAACATTTGATTGGTAAACTATTAAATTGTAAATAGATGTAAATAAGATGACGGTTTGACCGGTGGTTTATAAGTAAATATTTTCTAAAAAAGTTTTGGAATCATATTCTAGGCGAAACTTCAAATCATATTTTTTGAGATTTGACATAAATAATAATAATAATGATGAATATCTTCGCTATCACTAACACTTAAAAAAAAAAAAACTTAACCAAGAGAGTAGATATAACATAATTCATATATAATAATACACTATTAGATATCAGTCAGAGCATTTCATTCCCATTTTTTGTTTCATGCTATTTTGAATAAAGCCGTTACCGCAAGATGCCTTGTGAGTTATGACACAATCTGTTTCACTCAACTGAACAAAATATTTATTAAATATAAATAATAACATTGAGAATCACCAAACGATTTTGCAATGCTTTAAAAAAACCTTTAAAATTTTTATTAGAGATAAAATTAATTAGAAATTCTAGAAAACTTAGCTTTAAAATAGTAGATTGTAACTTAACGTGCGGGTCCATATCTAATAATTTGCAAACCACGATGTATAATCGAAGACGAATGAAGTGAATAAGATCTATAATGAAACACCAAAAAATCAATTGTAGAAACTCAATAGACAGATTTTAAAACAGTACAAACAAAAATCTAAGACAAGAGAAGCTTACCTCTTTGTAAATCTAATAATTTGTCATGATGTCTAAGCGAAGATGAATTATGAGGATTTTGAATCGATTTCGATATAGATTCGTCGATCGACCGACAACGATAATTTTCTTAGATTGTAATTTTTTTTTTCCGTTTCAGACAACAAATCTTGAACAATTATCTGTTCAGATAATAAACATCATAATTTTTAATGTTATGGACCAAGATTTATTGAAAATTATACGGCCCATTAAAATTATTTTGTTTGAGATTTTGGCCCACGGATTAAAAGTCTCGGTGTTCATGTTTGTGACAAAAATGTTTTTCATTTAAAACATTTGCCAATTATAGTATAGATTTGAATTTTTTTCCTTACTATACTAAACACAGTAATTATGTTACAAAAAAAAAACACAGTAATGTGTTATATTATCCGATTATATTTTTTACAAAATATACCGAAATACATATTTTCGAACAATTTGCTCTGTTCCCCATACCAATATATTCAATCCTGTAATTTGTTACATAAATCTATTTTAAATATCATACCAATTTCAAACTGATACACACACATTCAAAACCTATATGACATAAGTTTTATACTCAGAAAATCGTATGCTACCAAAATCCCGCACGTACGTGCGGGTCCGGATCTAGTATATAATAAAAGCCAATTATATATGGGTTTTCGTAAAAAAAAGTTTTGTTTTTTAAACACCTTAAACATATTACATAAGTACATAACTATAACTATGGCACATAATCTTTATATACATTTTTGAAGTACATTTTACAAAATGCTTTTGATTTTCTAGCATATTTATAACAATGCCATTACTTTTATCATTTACCCAAACAATTTAATCATTATTTCTCTACAATCCATATAACCAAACACAGTTAATAGTTTTAATATTAACTAGATTTTAGTCTGTGGTATACCACAAAATAATTTTTTTTCTAAAAAGTTGTGAATTTTAAAATTTTAATGATTCTTTATTATATATAAAAGGTTGCAAATTGTACCATTTTATAAGATATTTATATTTTATAGTTTACAATTTTTATTAAGTAATGGTATACCCCAGGACATTTTGTTTTATACAATCTTTTCTAAAACAGACTGATTTAATATGTCTAATATTGGTGGTGTTAAAAAATAATTAATTAAAGATTTAACTCGTATTGAAGCGGTGGATTAATGATATTTTAATTTTTTGTTAATGTTGATTTAAAAACCCGTCCTCCTATATAACTCCGTCTCGCAATATAATCTGTCTCGTATTATTAAATTTTTTTATTATTTTTGATTGTTAATAATATTATAAACCTGTTATTGATTGTTAATATATCAATTATAATATTTAAAAAGTTTTAAAATTTTAAAATTAATAATTTCCGAAAAAATTAAATAGTTAAACTAACGAAAGAATTAGTCCGTATACAAAATTTTAAATTTGGATGCTTGTTACGTTAAGCTTCATGTTTATTCGGATTTGGATTCATTTCGATCTTATTTATAATATGATTCTGAATTATTGTCTAAAACTTTTAGCTGATGTGGGACGTTGAACACACACCTTTTTCACCAATTAATAATATATGTTCGTTTTTAAAACTTCGAATCATAATATATCCATAAATGTTTTGAGATTTTTCTTAATTTTATGTATTATATGATGATTCAAACAGTTACAAAAAAATAAAACAAAGATGATAGGAGAATCATAATTTTAAATCTTAACCCTTCTAAATATCTATATTGTTAAATATGGAATATCCGGTGTAAGAATTTGATTTTTTATACCCCGATCCAAATTAAATATGGAATATCCTAGTCGGTTACCAAATTTGTCAGATCACAATTTAACCAACCCGCTAACAAATCTATACTAGTATTTTTGCAACATTTTGGTGACGGGTGGGTAAAAATGCTTTCGGGTATATCGGATACCCGACCTGTTTTTAAAATTCCTTCACAAAAAAATCTGTTGGGTCGGGTTATATTTAACCCAACTCATACACCAGATATTCCATATTTAATAATTTAGATATTTAGAAGATTTGATTAAGATTTATAATTATGATTCTCCTATCATCTTTGTTTGTTTTTTAACTGTTTTGAATCATCATATAATACATAAAGTAAAAAAAAAAATCAATTTTTTTCTGCATATACTGTCATTCGAAATTTTAAAAACGGACATATATTATCCAATTGACGAAAATGTGTATTCAACGTTCTACATCGATTAAAATATTTTGACAATGATTCAGAATCATATCATAAATAAAAACATTAATAAAATAAATGAGTTTTTTTGGCCGGACGGATTTGGCGGGACGGATTTTTAAATCAACAATAATAAAAAGATTCAAATATCATTAATCCGCCGCTTCAATACGGATTAAATCCTTATTTTTTTAATACCACAAATATTAGAAATATTAAATCAGTCTCATTTAGAAAAGATTGTATAAAACCAAAAATTGTTCCATGGTATAATGTTACTTAATAACAATATTTATAAAACTTTAAAATATCATTAACATGCCGCTTTAATACATATTAAATCTTTAGTTCATTAAAATATAAATGTCTTAGAGAATGATATGATTTGTAAACTTTTATATATAATAAATAATCATTAAATTTTAAAATAAAAACAAATCACGGGACGGGTTATATTTCGGAAAGGATTTATATGGCGGACGAATTTGAATCAATATTTATATACCGCTTTAATACGGGTTAAATCCTC